GGCTACCACCGTGTGGTAAATGCCGTTAAATAGTATATTCGTGTCTAGAATTCTAATATAAATTAATGTAACGTATAATTGATGTCAAATTAACGATATTACTAATATAAATCAATGATTAATTTTATATCGTACACCTTTTTGTGCTATTACACTAATTTTAGTGTTAGATAACTCATTACTCACATAAATGAAATCACGAAAACTTGATACCACGAAGTTAAGTGATATTAAATAAATAACCCACAGAGAAGATTTAGATAAAAATAAGAGTGAACTTATTGATTCACTTCATAAGAATCGTCCCATCGATGTTTAAGACTGCGATCGATCAGTCACTTTTCAGCATAAGTGTATCCTAAACGGGTTCCCTCGATAATCCCATCAAATCTCAAGCGATTAAAGCAGAGATGGATAGTGGCTAGCAATGGAATCCACGTGTTTTGTCCTGTTTGGGACTTGTCAACTGGATGTGCCACCATCACATAGTTGATGTCTACTCCGGGACTTGAACAGTGTATCGTTCGCCTCAAACGTCATTGCGTCATTCATTTAGCTACTGAGTCCAGATAGCCATCGGTTTGTGCAGTGGGGTGAATTTTACTCCATATATATATATATATATATATATTGGTTGTTTGAATCTTCAAACGAGACTGAAGGTTTACCCTGGATTTCATTGCTAGTGACGATGCATATCTGCTTAAGACGACTGATTTACTTTTTTAGATTATGTGGAATGCTGTTGAATGCACAAAACTACAACTAAAGCAATAAAGCTGTCAGCTTATTAACATTGTCCTATTGATCGAATAAATGTACATTATTCTAACTAACCTATATTTACTACATCGACTAGAGTTTTCAACCATTATTTTGTGGAACTTCAAGGACCATCAATAGGAGTTGCGCTATAGTATTCGATTAAATCGACAGGCAACAACTTCTTACATTGATATCATATCTTGATCTAATCAACCTAAAGGTAACTCACATTACATCAACAAAGATCATATATAAAAGTTAGCAAATATTTCCATTTATAACTTACACTAAAATTGTTTTAGCTAGTGAGAATTCGAGATCTGATCAACTGAGTTTCTTTTGCTTTTTGAGCAAATTTCCACTCAGTTTACTTTCAGTAGTGGCGTGCTTTAATTTCTAGAGATTAGTGTACCAGGTAGCATAATTGTTAACTTTATGTTGTACATTGTTACCTGTTTTTTGTACATAAACTGTTTCATGTTTTATTCTCTAGTAAAATGACTTTTTAATTCTTTATTTATCTATGGTATGTTATATCATATCATAGATAAGTCAAATTAGAAGAAAAACAAGATGATCTAGTTTAAGATTATAAATAATAGTTAGAATGGTAAAATCAGATTGTAGCTTCCCATCTCATTCATCATTTTTCATCATCATCAACATCAACAATGGTAACACCATAAAAGGAATAATTAATATGATCTTTGTAATTATTTCAATAATTAGGTTGTTGTTTTATTAATCGTGGTGTGTGTTCTTAATAATAAAGGGGAATAAGTCTAATTAAAGGACGAAAATAAAACTTTTGTTTAAATTCATTCATACTAAATAGTAATAGTAGCAATAATAATAATCACAATAACAATAAACAAGAAATTGTATTCCATATAGTTGTTAGTGATGTTATGTTGGAAAGATGGAAGACTGATGTACATAGGGAAGAAGTTATAATCTCTTTAATCACTGACAACTTTAGTGTACATACTAATTTTCATCAATAAATGGAGCAGACTTATTAAGACCACTTTGATAACATGTATTCAATCCAATCTAAATGACTACAATGTTTTAAAACAATTAGTCCCTTTGATAAATTTCGATAATGCAATGAGAAGACGTAGTTTATCAGAATTATGTGAATGAACATTGAGTACAAACGTCATTTAAGTGTGTGTGTTTTAATCTATCACATGAAAATAAAAGAAGGATTAACTCTGAAAGGCAGTTAAATTGGATTAGAAAATAGGGAACTGAATAGTAGGAACTCCTAGTATACTCGGCTAAAAAATGTCGCTATCAGCAGGCGAACAAACAACTTAGTATCAGTTGCAAGTGTATCAGTCCAATCTCTCATACAGATAATTCATATAATCAGTTTCGGAAATTAATACGAAAATAATATATGGATCCAATTCATCTCAAATTTATCTTTTCAGTATTATTTTCAAAATTATAATTCACTTGTCGAACTCTTGTTTTAATTTTGCCCATATTGGCTTGTCTTTAAAGTTGTTAACTCGGTACGTGAAGTCTATCTAACTAATAACTTTATGAATACAATAGAAAGATAAATGATGATCTGGTAGTTTCAAATATACTTATTACATTAACAAGAACCTACCAATAAAGCTATGGCTGAATGGTTATGGCTGTCGACTCACTCACTGACTTCTCACCACAGGAGTGTTGTTTACGAAACTGGGGGGATGAAAAGCGAATGTCCAGCGTTTTAATCGGGCTGGTGGATACAGAAGATCCACCTATATGATTTAGAATACCCTAATTCCAAACTGGTGATGAACATGGGCTCTAGGATCCTGAAGGGACAAATGGCGTATAAACCTGTTGCTCACTGGTTATGGGACTGCATCTCCTAAGGCTGCCCCATTGCCTTTTGGATTAGACCTCCAGGTCGAAGGCTTAGGGTGTGGCCCCCTAAGAAAACCACCTGCTTGGGGTTTGGGCGCCCATTTAGTATCCCGACCCTTACATAAGTCGAATGACGAAATGTGGTTCAAATATATTTGGTACCATTTTGTACCAATGTTTATGTGTTTAAATAAATAAATGTCCATCAACCTTAATTCATTGAGTCGTTGATTCAAATCTCCCTTGGGATGACTTGATTTAAGCAGTCAGATAACACCATCAACTCGCAGACAATGAAGTTATAGCTCAAAGTGAAGTATAATAATCTATACCAGGTTACAGATTTTTTTCTAAATTTAAATGCTTCTATTCATATAACTCGGCTAGATATCATGAAGATTCATGTAAAAATAATATATCAAACTAATAAATAGTCTAATTTCAGCAGTGAATGCTAACAATGAAACCATCAAAAACCGATAATAATAATAATAATAATAATAATAATAATAATAATAATAAAAGAAGAAATAACATCTATTCCCTTTTTTCTCAAACAATCTTTGTCAATGTAACTAACGAATTAGTTCTGTTAATCTAAAATAATACTATTATTGTATAAATTGATTGAATCGTATAAAGAGTACAATAACTAATGTTGATAATTTGTGTCAATACAAAAAAGAAAACTCAATGTTTTAACACTTCGAATGGTTTGTTGTTATGGTTTCAGTATCACATAAATTATTCAATTCACAAATAATAATAATAATAATAATAATAATAATAATAATAATAATATAATTATGCGTTTTGTAATTGCAATTATTTCCTTTTAACACATTGTCAATTTTTCTCTGAAAGAATTAAGACAAAATGAGTTTATCTAAAAAAAATAGGGTAACTAATTGTTCTGATGGTATAACTTGTTATAACAGTAAGATTACCATAGTACATTTCTAGTTATTCATAAGTAATTAAACAATGGATGGATCACAGTACTATGTAAGTGATTGAATGATGCTTGGAGAGTGAACCCTTAGAAAAAATTCCTGCCTCGGTATGGGGACTCAGATACTAGACAAACCTAAACACAAGTATTATTTTGTGTGATGCATATTATTTCTGGTCCCTGGTTGCACCAACTGTTGTGTGAACTAAACAAATAAAATTAATAATATTTACATCATTGTAGATACTTGAATCGTAGTTTTAGTTTGCTCAAAAGTTATTCAGTGCTATCCATGATATATTTCTTACACTATAGAGACACCCTATCACAACTTTTAAATTCAAGGAATTTGGGACAAGTAAAGTGCATAAATGAGCCTACTATATAGATGAAGATAACTGGGGTTTTCTAATTGATCCATTTCTACCAATATACAAACCTACAAGCATTCGTGATAATTTGAATGTTAGATGAAATTATTTTTCGGTTCCTTTTTTATTTTGAAGACAGAGCTTTTAAACAAGCATATTTAGATATTTGATTAATTTATGATTAAATATCACCGTAAAATAATGGTTTAGAAGGGGTTTTTGTGGATATTATAGTAATATTAATAGTTGGGATCATGAGTCAATTGAAGCTAGACCACCATGGAAGGTTGAAGTTAGACATTAACACCGTTGGATGCTGATCAGCTCAGCGGTCTAGAGGTTAAGCGTTTGCTCACGAGACTGGTAGCTCTTGGGTTCGAATCCCGCGAGTGAGATTGTGGATGCGCACTGCTGAGGAATCCCATACTAGAACGAAACGGCCGTCCAGTACTTCCAGGTTTTTCACTATGGTCTAGCTCCAATTGACTCATGATCTCAACTATTAAAATTCATATCTTAGACTGAATCTAAAGGGGATGTTCAGTTGTTTTTCGATTAACAAAAACATTCTTCAGATGATATATGTATCAATAACACAATAAATTACATAATTATTATTTAAATGAATAAAAATTTATATTCTGGGATGAAATACTATTATTAATGATACTGTAACCCTATCCAATTAGTTTATTATTTATAAGACAAGATTATGCATATTCTGCAATAGCTTGACAATATTGAATATCTTGGGGACTTGTTCAGCTCTGATGATTACTGCTAAATACAGCAAAAAATATAACATTGAGCGATTAATAAGGATGAGCAACATATTTTAAATACAAACTTAAAGCTAATACAAATAGTTAGCCTCATTTGTTTGACGAGAAAACATGAACCTGGCCTTGATATTACCTAAAACTCACTAATACCGTGTCGAAAATGGTAAGAAAGCACTTAACAGAAAATAGGTAGCAGAAAATTCTCAAATGCTTTACGTGATTAGTCTTATTACATATTAAAATATATAGTGTACTTACCGTGTGATAAAATTCCGTAATATCACCAAAAGCTGCTTGTCTCGAATTATGATGACGTCGGCATTCTTCAGCAGCATTCAGTTGAGTCATATGCAAAACGCGATATATACGTGCACAAACACCACATATACCTGAAGCTCCGTTAACAGATGTAAGATTGTTTGTTAATTCCATGTAAATAGGAGCACGAGGTTCATTATCTGGTGTTATACCACCAGGTGAATAAAATGACGGCGCGCTTTCCCAATCTGAATAAAGCAAACGTCTTCCTGTAGATGATGGTTTAAAATTCACCGGCTGATATGACTGGCCATGAATGCCGTTAAGGACAATATATATAACTACTATGATAAACATACTAAGGTTTTTCAATGAAATATTCATTTTTGCGATGAATATCAACTTAATCCATAAAAGTAGGCAAGGTGTAAGTACATATTTACAACTATGACTAAATCCAAGTCGAAGGAATGTTTTTTTCGAAAGATAACGATATTTCGAAGGTCTCAACAGTCAACTGAACCTAATCAAGTATGAAAAAGTTTACGTGACATCCGCCAATTAAAATTCCTAATATCTTTTTTATTATCTTATTAATTATTAAGCGAGTACATGTAAGACAAATTTCCTAGCTAAATCATGATTGGCTAAAATTTGACTGGTCAAATTTTGTCTACCAATAAGCTAACAGATTATTAGAATGATAGCTAAATGTCATCCTACATTTTGTTTACATTAAAAACGAGTATTTCAATAGAGAAGTTTAAGATTTTTAAGATAGATTACCTCCAGTATATTGAGAAGTACAAAAGCCTTGTTCATTTTTTGTTTGATATATGTGAAAGAATAAGTTTATTTCTAATGCCAACAAATAATAATAGCTGAAAGATTAAAAACGATAACACAGAATAACATAAATTGGCGACCAAATTTATGGACCATGTCTGAAGATAATCGCTCAGGAAATGTAAACAGAAGTTTCCATTGATTTTCAATCGTTTATCCCCTAACCCACTAGTCCTGACAATTCAAAGTGGTCTTCATCATGGACCAATATCAGCTGAGGGATCATTGTAACCTAAGGAGCACTAGTAACCTGTTTTTTTTTAGTTTAAGACTTCTCAGAAATATCCATCCATGACCAGGTATTGGATCAGACAGAGGGATCTAGGGTGACATGTGCACCACGATAAATTCCGACTATTGAATCTAAATCCATTTACCCATACGTTCAAATTTACTCGTTTCGAAAGGTAATGGAATACAAAATACATACTGATAAATTACTTAACACACGCAAATTTGAAAAACATAGAACTGAAATTATCTTAGCAATTCCAAAACATTCGAACACAAATTAACTATTCTGAAGTCAGAATAACAATTAAATAAGGTTACAAAATGGAAAGGAGAATAATATAACTAGCCACTTTCGTACTAATTTTTTGGGTGAATGATCACCATAATTTAATAACACAGGCATACCCAATTAGTGGCTGAATTTTAAGTATGTCAACCATTGTATGTCATCAAGACAATCCATATTCATAATGTGTATATTAAATTACTGAGAATATACTAATAAACCACATAAAAACACTACCTTTACTTCCTCGTTTACACACAGCAAAGTATGTTATAAATGTAAAAAAATATATTTGAATAATCTCAGTAATCGAAATTCAGATTGCAATCAATCACATTTATTTCCCTGAAGAAGTTCAGACCAAATTGCTTAGCGAAAAGCTGGATTTATTTAAATTTCAATTGTTAAAACTATTCAGATATAATTTTTACGGAATTCATGCATTTAGTTCCTTCTTACGAATTTGAATTAAGCTATTGAACGATTTAGAGCTATTGCATCCATCAGTCTCAAATTCCTTGGGAGGTCTTCTCTATACTTATTCATCAATTTCTACCAAACTACTCACTTAAGCTATCTTTGTGATGTGCGCTACCTATGTGAACATATATAAGTAGTTTATTGCAGGGATAGAAAGTGAAAGATTTAAATGAAGAGAATAGTGAAGAAACGGAGAGCAATCGGAATAATAACAAAATTAGAAGAATAATGGAGTATGTAAAGGACAAATGAAAGATGTGCATGTGATATCTTTAATGTATGATTTTCACATTTCACAGACACTGTTTACCGTATCTGAGTTCTCGTTCACTCCACAATGAATGCTCATATAAGTGTATATTTTATTATAAATATGATTGGAAGTGACTTAATCAGCTTGGTTGATCATATTTAAATAATGAAGTGGGTATAAATTAATGTAAACTAGAACTAGTCCGTCTTAAAGAGGTAAAACTCCGCTTTATTTTTTATTTTTTCCTGTTATTTATCAATTCGTTTGTTGAGAATAAGTCTGTTGATATATATACTAAAATTCCCATTATTCTTTGCTTGCTGATCATAAGGTTTAAACGTTTATAACTGATAAATTGTACAATTCATGCATGTTTCCTATAAAAAGTCATTACCATAATCATTTGTTATTCTCATCATGAAGATCAGAGTTATCCTCGTATTGCATTGTACAGTATACAGTTGACCAGAGAACCATGTAATTATTTATATTCGATAATTTTGACGTTTGATTATATTTCCTTGAAAAAGGTTGAGCAAGACTGCTAGGAGAAAATTTAGATTTACTTCCAATTCATTAGCTGAGATTTTACAAATACATTATTCCTCCCTAATGTCTCACATCAACTCGGCGCCCAAATATTGTGAAACTATACGATCAAATTTAAACGAAAGTCCTTATTATTGTAAGAATAATGTTTAGAAAAGTCTTATTGATCCAGTCATAGAATGAGACTATGAAATTCCTATTTTTGTAATATGTTTTGGTGGCTACCCTAGGTTTTTATAGTTCCTAAATCGTCATCATTATCCTTTATTTAGTTAGAGTATATCATTTAATGAATTTATTTTTATAAATGCTATAATTGTCAACTGTTTGTAGGTTGTTCTGTCTATATGGGATATGTATACAATCTAAAGCTCCACTTCTGATTAAAGTTAATCCTGAAGATATTGTTTTCAAACCTTTACAACTTAATAAACTAGCCCGAAAAAAAACACAATACCATCAAAGTTGATTTATACAGGCAATATGTTTCCACAAACATTCAATTAACCAAATTTTCAATCAATGCGTTTGCATGACTTCCAAAATAGTAATCATTTTATCTAGATCATGAAATGAGGTATGTGACCTACATATTTCATTGAATAAGAAATGATATACTAATGAATTAGGATACATAAAATAAAATGACCAAATGTTCAATCAGCTCTAATCTATCAGGTGGGATATTGTCATCATTTTTGGTTATGCTAAACTATTTATTTCGGTCAGTAGCATATCTAGAGTTTTACTTTAAATAGTCAAATACTTAACCTTACTTACTTACTTACTGGCTTCCGAAGGAACTCGGCTTTCACCATAAAGCGTCATAATTCTTCCAAATGAAGACCTTCTAACTTTCAGGGTAGAGTTTCAATGGTTTGAATTATTTTCTCTGGAAAGCCTTTTTTTAGCGAGTTAGTTTTCTACGGGATGAGGACGATAACCCCATGCCCAACCATCCTCCTTTACCCGGGCTTGGGACCGGTAGTAACTCTGGAAGAGCTACAGGTGGAGTTCAATTACTTAAACAATGTAACACAAATCAATAAATGTCTTGTTATTCAACAACAACAAAATGTTATTTTTAATACATAGTGATACATCATTGATAACAACTAAAAAGTCACTTCGCAATCATAATTTTTATAATATACATTGATTAAGAATAAATTCTCTGATGAAATATATCATAGAACATTTTAACATATATCCTTAACAGTCTAGTCCTCTATTAGATACAAAAAAGTTAAAAACAAAACAATCAGTTTATATAAACTGGTTTTAATTACAACAGTTGTCAAATCTGAACTCAAAATTTACAAGCTTTCTCATATACATTGTATATGTTTATTAGAAGTGGATTCAGCAGAATGAGAAACACTTAAATCGATTCGATTCATGATCAATATCCATAGTTCATATTTGGTTGGGTTGTTACTTTATTGTAGTGAATGATTGTGTGCATTATGAATACATTTTACAATTGAAATGAACTAGAAAAATCATATCTGGAATTTCTTCAAGCTTTAATTGAACTAAGAATAATTAAGTAATTCTGATACATAAAACTGTCGTACCAATATTCTCAGACTAGACTATGTGCGGTAGAGTAATATTCTGTAAGAAAAAATCGTTTACAACAGTTTCAATCCAACTTACTTTTCGAGTATGTATTTCATTTCAAAATTCTACTCTCAAAATTTGGTCTGCTACTTAGTTTTTTATACAACAGAATTCAATATCATTAGTAAAGAACTTTCTAATGATAATAGATTTTAAGTATAAACATAAAATCAGGATCTAGTTTTTATGATTTCGGTCACGTTTCATTGAATTTCTAAAAATCTCCATAATTTGATAATTCACGTATCAATATTACTTTGATTCAATGTGAAGGATAACATATTAATACTTCCCTGTTTATAACTGAGATTTTACTAATGGTAGTTGCAACTTATTGACGTTATAAAAAAGGTATGCATTTAGTGTTCATTAAACAGTTTGTAAAATGGAAATGATAAAATTAATATGTCGATTATAATATAATTAACTAACTGAATTTTTGCTCGAAACGTTCTGAGTGGCAACATAAATTAAAACATCCCATAGACTTTTGATTCTAGTTTGTTACATCAAAACATCAGGATACAGATACACCTTAGTTGTATGATTAATGTAGTAAACGGCAACACAAGTGGAGTCAATAGAATGTATCTGAACACAAAATCTCTTAATAAAATCTGAGAACCATACAGTAAATACTTCGCAAAATATCAACCAATCGTCTTAGACTTCATTTTTCCTGCATTTCTATACCAATTGCTTTCTGTCCCCGTTTTTTCCTCTTCGGTCTTCTCGACCTTCTGCTGTAGAATATTATATTCCTGACTAGCGCTGTATACTACTTATGTTGATACAAGTAGCACACACCATGTTCTAAATGGCTTGTTCTGAATTACAATGAAAATAATGCAGTAGGTTTATATATCGTAGTCTATATTATGATAGACGGAAAAGATAAAAGTTTATAAAAAATAGCTACTTACTACACCCAGTATAATCAGAAAATCGTAGTTCATAAATGATGTAATATGATGAAGTATGATAGGTAATTGGTTGAATAAGTTTGTAAAAGGATATGAGCAGTTTTTTGTGAAATTTATGGGATTTATGTTTCATGTAACAATACAAAGGAACTTTGTTGCGTCAAGAAGCCTCCAGCCAAGAAAAAAAATTTTCCAGATGTTGGAATTTAAACCAGATTGTTATGTTTGCAATTTTTATGATTTCTCTTGCATAAATATTGTAGTACATAATTTGTTTATGTATTCAAAAGGTGCCCCAGTCTGTTGGTGCACTGATGAAACGTAACCTGTGAACAGGAAGCCACGAACTTAGATTTCGTTCTAGATAGGAATCGCAATAAATAATGCTTGTGC